TATAAAAAACGACACAAAAAGGGAGAAAAACGGAGCCGGATCAGAGACGGGAGGAAGGTTTTACAACGGGATCATTTTTAGCCGTTATTAAATAACGTTCTTCTGAAGTTATTAATGCAAAATCATCAGAAATACTTTAATTATCCCAGAGGGAAATTATCTTTGTTAATAGCTCCATAAATAAAACATACATTTCTATATATATATATATATATACATGTATATATATATATACCGGTATATATATAGCAAAAATGACTGAAATGTGTTATATTTCAAAATTAAATCAGAATCAGAATCAGAAATTCTTTAATATTCCCAGAGGGAAATTATCTTTGTTAGTAGCTCCATAAATAAAACAACAGCAGATACATATATACATTTCTATACATGTATATATATATAGCAAAAAAAACGACACAAAAAGGGGAGAAAAACGGAGCCGGATCAGAGACCGGTGGGTGGTTTTACGCCAGGATCATTTTTAGCCGTTGTTACATGATGTTGTTATGAAGTTATTAATGCAAAATCATTTACAGAAGTTTAAGGAAAAATGGAAATCAGAATCAGAAATACTTTAATTATCCCGGAGGGAAATTATTTTTGTTAGTAGCTCCATGAATAAAACAACAGCATATACATACATACATGTCTATACATATATATATATATATATATATATATATATATATATATATAATTTTTTTTTTTATTTATTATAACGTCTTTAATGACTTTCAATGAAAAACATTTTTTGAACAGAAAATATATCAAATTTTTTTATGTCTTCCAGCTTTAAATGTGGACATTGGAATAATCTGGGCCACAAACTGTGAGGAACTTCTCGGTATATATATATATACGTATATATATATATATATATATATATACAAAATTCCACACAGAATATAGATAAATATATATATGTATATAATACAAAACACTTTTTTTCAGAAAATGTATGACTTATCGGTCAACTTTAATCCAGCAGCTGCCTGAGAAAGAACATGTAAAGTATAATGGCTCATAATCATTTACAGAAACAGCTAAACTTGAATAATTTTGCTTTTTTTCTGCCCTCTGGTATTCGGGAGAGTGTTGTTTTCAAAGATAGCAAAGAAAACACGACAACTGGAAAGTGAAAACGGCCGATGGCTTTTCTGTGGAACTCCACATCCGGGTTAAAACCTGCCGCCCTGTTTATTCAACAGAGAGCCAAAATGGAAGAGACACAGAGCTTATGGGGGGAGGTATCCAACCAAAAACCATGTCTATTTAAAAAAAAAAAAAAAGATTTACTAAGAAATGTAAGTAGCATCTCCATTTCTGAATCTTGTCACATATACAGTGGGGGAAATAAGTATTTGCCCCCTTGCTGATTTTGCAGGTTTGTCCACTTACAAAGAATGTTTATTTTTCCTCATCAGATGGTTATCAATTTTCATAAATTCATATGATGTGATTTTCTGGAATTTTCTTTGGGATTCTGGCTTTCACTGTTAGAATGTACATATGATTAAAGTTATAGATCGTTGCATTCTTTGTAAGTGGGCAAACCTGCAAAATCAGCAAGGGTTCAAATACTTATTTACCCCACTGTATTTCTATGAGTAGGAAACTAGCTTCCTCCTTCCTATCTGAGCTCATTTTGCCAGTTGGCTCTTAACCCTATAATGCCAAATGTGTCATATTTGATAAATACGGTTTCTGAAGTCTTTTGGATCTGAGACTTTCTGCATCATTCAGTGGTAAAAGCTTTGCTCAAACCCCTGTTGTACACGTTCAGATATACCTGATAACAGCCAGTAGAAGACTACACCAACATAGATTTTTGACTTATTGCACGCTAATCTGATCAAAATAATTTCTGTTTTTTTTCTTCATATGTTGTTGAGGGGCCAAAGAAAGACTTCAGACTAAAAAAAATCCAATATTCTTCCTATTTTTCTTGGATCGGGCTTTAAAGGGTTAATATTTGTCTCACAAATAAAACAAGGTGTAGTAAGTCGGTTCCAATCCAAAATGGCAGGCAGGAACACGCCTCTAAAACACTCTTTCATGCTCACTAACCTCCATCCATTAGCCACACATTATTGTTAACAGTATTATCATAATCGGATTCCCCGGCTGTTGATTCGATCATCCTCTTGTTACTAGCGTAGTCGTCACGCAAAGACATCCCTCATGCTCATCCACACGGGCACCACATAAATCTCAGCAAAAAGGAGGAAATCTGAACAGCGAGTTAAACCCGATTCCCTCGTTCCCCCTGACAGCAAACGCTTTTTTATTAGAAACAGATTAATATTTACACTCGTCTGTATTCAAACTCAGTGTAAAACTAGCATGGTTTGGAGTCCTGGATGGGAATTGGCAATTAAAAGCAGCTTGTTTGTGAGTTTTTGCTTTTGTTTTTGTTAAAAAAGGACAAACTATTACATGGTAATCTTAGAAAAACAATAAGGAAAAATGCAATCGACTTTAATGCTTTTAAGCGTTTGCCATGCACAGCTAATACAGTAGAGGACTCATTCTGAAAAGCATTAAGGTCATTTAAACATAAAACTCCTTAAGTTAATGGCTTAAGGTAATTTAATTGTTTGTAATATGCTTTTGAAATATATGTTCTGCCCCTTTAACAATGGGCAGGAAATCATAATTTGATTTCCTACTCATTTACGTCCAAATGGCTATAAACAACGGTTAGAATGAAGTGAAGGAGTGTGTGTGTGTGTGTGTGTGTG